CTCTGTTCCATGCCCCGCCCCATTGGAAGTCTCGCGAGAATATCGCGCGTAGGGAGGGGGCACCCAGCGCGAGACCCAGGGACAGCTCGGGAGGGTCGGAGCCAGCGCGAGATTCGGGAGCCAGCACAAGGCAGAGGTGTGGACCTGAGGCAACCCACGTGTGCCCCCCGGTCTCGAGGTGAGCGAGGCCCCCCGCTATCCCCCTGGAGTAGACGATGGGCCCCCCCATCTCCCCGAGTTTTCGTGAGAGTACCGGCCCCTTTCGTGAGTGACAAGCTCTTCGGCCAATCGGTACGCCGGGCGGCTCGGAGTGATGGGCGCCGCAGCCAACAGCGTCTGGGAATGATGTGGAGCACGCCCCCCTTCAGGGATGGGCGGTGCTCAGGGTTGCTGGAGCCTCCGAGGGGCCCGGGCGGTGGCTGGTTGGGGGGAGGGGGCCCGGCTACGGACAGCTGGTGGGGGGTGTGTATGTGAGGGGTCCTGGGCTCCTTGGTGGGGGCCCCTGAGGGCTTTGGTTTGGGGGGTTATGAGAGGCCCCCGTGATGAGAAGGGGTTCTGGGCTGTGGGGATGGGGATTGTGGGGGGCCCTATGCAGCAGGGCCGTTCTGGGTCAGCAGGTGGCTATGGAGAGTGCAGTAGGGAGATCCTGGCCTGGGTAAGGGCTTGGGGCTCTCTAGTTAAAATGGGTGAGTTAGGGAGATTGTAGGCTCGGGGTGGGGGGAAGAGAGGGGGCTCATGGGATTGGTAGATTGGGGGTGTCACAAAAACAACTTGACGGGGTCTAGGAGTAGGGTGGGTAACGCTGAGACTAGATGTAGTGGGAGTAACCCTTTAACAGCCCCCTCCTGGGAAGTATATTGGAAGGAGTTGACCCCCCCCCCATCCCCAGGCAAGTTAAATCAGTTACTCTAAACATCAGCATGGTAAAAACTTAATGTTTAAATTGTGCAATCTTTGTGTGTGTGTGTGTAACAACAATTATTTAAGAAAAAATATATATTGTGCAATTTAAACATTAAGTTTTTACCCTATTGATGTTTAGAGTAACTGATTTAACTTGCCTGGAGATGGGAGGCGTCATCCCCTTCCAATACACTTCCCAGGAGGGGGCTATATAATTGTTGTTTCTCACTGTTAGACTTTGGGAGCCCAAACTTTATGAGAACTTGTAGAAGCAATGAGTGTTTAATCTATTACTCCACAATTGCTTTTCTTTCACTTACATACTGTGGTAGAATAGTTGACAGTTTCTAGTAAACTAGAACTATTAAACAAACCGGCTTATTTGTCAAAAGGGTTTCATCTTTATTGCTAAAATTAATTGGGCCCCATTTTCTCGCCTTACCCTAAAAGAAAAAGACCAACAGGTTTGACTTTTCTTACATGAAATGTTATGTGACAATAAAAATACTTGGTGATGCGTATAAAATCAACATAGATTAATCAAATAAACTTAAATTTTTAAGACCAGACTCTGTTGTAATTTACACCCTTCATGAAATCCAGTTGAGTACCACTGCCATCCTTCATAACCTCTTTCCATTCTCCAATCTGTACCTTTTTCCATGCTGCTTTCTATGCATGGAGTGTCATCTCTATCCTGGTTCACCAAGTAGCTACCGTCTCCATATTCAGGTCCCTTCTAAAGACTAAATTTTTCTATGAATATATTACCGTGATAAAATGATATGCATACTTTCTCTGGGCTCCTCAGCATGTCTTGTTTCATCATTGTGTTCTATGGGGTAGGGACTTTCTTCAGTTTGTCTGGTACAGCATTAAGCACATTGTTAACCATAACCAATAGCACTAGCCAAAAGGATTGCATGGTGCTTTACAAACTGTATAAATATAGTTGTTGCCCATTCACTAAAATATAGACACTTGTGGTGTAGAATGCAGCAGCTATTCTGAACCACCAATTCTATAAAACAGTGATTTGGCACAAATTAAGAATAACTTCATCACTTGAACAAAGGGGATTTTAGGGGGGTAGAATACAATTGCCCGAGTTGGAATCTGGTTACTAGCAGGGTTAACCTCTTTCTTCTTTTTTTGAGAAAAGAAATTGTATTTGACTGCTATCATATGAATACATATTAAGCATTTATCATTCTGGCCAACCATAATCAGTTTCATGGCTGTAGTTTAACCATCACTGAAGTGCTTGTTTGCTGTTAGTGCCCAAAAAGAAGATTGAATTGATGGAAGTTACAAGCCAGAAATGTAGATGCAAAGTTTGTTGACATATGGTTAACTGTACTTGTGTCTGCAGAAGCCTTTTTTTTTTTTTTTAAAGAGATGGTTCTTCATTTGGACCAATTATTTCTAATCCCAGAATCTGATTGGGCGTAGAGTGGTGGAAAACCAGTCTTTCTGTTTCAAAACAGTGAACAAACAGGCATTGGATGAAGCTATCCTGTCCACAGAATCCTAGTTTACAAAACCTGGAGGGCCACTGAATTATAAAAATTTGTTCAGTTTTCACAGTTGTACTCAAGCAAAGACATTTGGGGAATGTCAAATTTTCTCTATATTTCCGGTGATACATTTTCTCTCTCTAAATTTATTTATGCTGTTTAATCATAGCAGTTAGAGCAAGAAAATACCTTTCAGGATATCTGGTCCATCTCACTGGCCAGTGCAGGATTATTCCATTCTAGATTTTCTTGAGACAATCCAGTTGTAAATGTCTCCAGCAATAGGGTTTCTTTGAGGAGACTATTCCTGCATCTAACAGATTTCACTGTTGACAACTTTATTTGTACTTAGCCAAGTTTTGCCTTAAATTTGTGCCATTATTCTTGGTTATACCTACTTGTACAATGCTCCTTCTCCCTCATTGGCATTCACTCTTCAAATAATTGTAGGCAGTTAATGTGTCCATCTTAGTTGTCATTAGCCAAATTACACATGTAGCTACTTTAATGTTTCTTCATAAATCAATCCCTTCTGTGACTTTATCACTTCCCCCCGAATGTCATCCAGTTTGTCAGTAGTGAGTGCTGATATTGGATTGCTTAGAGCTGAATACAGTTCACATCAGAGTTTTAGAGATTAGGACATAACCTTTTTGCTCTGGGTGTAGCCCTGAATCCCTTTTTTTTTTTTTTTTCCCCCCTCTTCCCCCCCCATCACATTACAAGCTCCTGTCTAATTTACTGTCCACTGTCACCTCAAGTATCATCTTCCCTCCAGCTGTGATCTAGTTTACATTTCCCAGAGTATTAAATGCATTTATTTCAAGTTGAATTTCTTTTTTTGCATATATCTCATGCCCTTATTTCTAATGTTTCTAGATTTCTTATTGTTTCTCAGTTCTCCCTGGTGTTTGCAACACCTCCCAGTTTCTTTAATGCTCTGATTTCTTTCTCCTCCTGCCCCACCACCCACATTCTACATAATGTACAAAGATGTCAAATGAAAATGAACTTCATCTTGACTCAGCAGTGCTCGTCCTGGTGCTACATCCAGCTTGGTACATTGCAATTATCATTAACCTTTTTAAAATCTGGTTGAAGGACTGCAGTTAGTCTGTGTGACAATGTTCTTATGAAGCTAATTTGGAAGTGCTGTAAAATCCATGTGGCGTGACTCCTACTGTGATGGTGATTGCAAAGATATGCAGTGCACAAAGTATTGAATAGCAACATATTGAACTGATTTGTATTGTCAATTTAAATAATTATAGTGGTTTACAGTGAACTTAGTTCTTGTGACACATGGTTATAAATTCAAAAATGTAAGCATGATGTGGGAGGGAGTGTTTAGCAGTTAGAATAGGGACTAGGAGTTGGGATTCCTGGGTTCTCTTTCCTGGCTTTGTCACTCTAGCCATGTGATACTGGGCAATTCACTTAACCTCCCTGTGCCTTAGTTTTCCATAGGTAAATTAGCTCTAATACTCACCTTTGTAAAGTGCTTTGCGAGCCTTTTGTCTGGTGAAAGGTGCGGTAAGTGCAGATTGACATTTGGAAATGTTGCTTTAAAAAGTTTAAATGGGAAAAATAAAACCGTCTCATTTAAAAATCAAACTTTTGATTGGGCTTTATTTTCAGATCTCTTGTTAATAAGGCTTGTGGTGGTGGTTGGGAAGGCTGAGGAGGATAACTCCAGAATGAGCAAAGTGAGTTGACTAGAGTCTGAGATTCCCAGACTGGTGTATAGGGAAGTCATTAACTCTCCCCCTACTTGTTGCTCTGAAAGGTGAGGAAACAAGAGATGAAGTGCTAATGGATATCAGGAGACAGTTGTGTGAAGGAAACTAGATCTCTGTTCCCAACCTCCTTTGGGCTGTAGAACGTAGGTTATGAATCTTACCTGTTGTGGGTGATGGGGGTGGGAGTGGGGGATACAAGCAATCAACAGTAGAGTTCTTATGGAAATATGTAGCAGTGATTGGAGTTTGCTACCATTTGGGACATTTCCTGGTTCACATTCTGTAGTTGCCTCTTCATTGTAAAAAGTTTTAAAATTTCTCAGTAAAACTTTTTAGAGAGTATCATTCTACAGGTCTCCTGGTGTGGTAGGTGTATTCAGCATGTTCATCTGGGGATTGCAGTCTTTGGATTCCATATTGGAATGATGCGTAGAATCATATTTCTATATGATAGTTTGCTTTACATGCTACTCGTTTTTTTCTTAAGCACTTGAACGCCATATTTTCAGAACTGTTCCTATCCCATTTAGGCACTTAAATGAAATGGACATGTTTTCAAGGGTGACTCCCAGTGGGAGCTGCTGGCTGGTGAGTTCTTTTGGCAGTCTGGCCTCATGGACCTGATTTTTTCATAGATGTTGCGTCTCTTCTGCTCTCACTGACTTCTTTTGAGCACTTCCTTCTCTTGGGTTGTTTTTTGCTTTGCTTTGAAGAAACTCCTAATATGAGTAGACTAATTTTTCAACGTTTTAAACTTAAATTAATAGTCTCCGTTCCTTTTGAATTAATTGCTAACCTCAATTTCCAGCATTTTATGTTTGTTGCTAAAACGTTAGATCATAACATCTGTGTTGAACTTTTGTCTTGCTGACATATTTCCCATGACGTGTCAGTTAAACAATCGCCAGTGACTCAGTAGCCCCTTTGTTCTCCTCTTCCCTATTTCCCTTGATAGTGCAAACTAGGTCTGAAATAATTAAGGCTAGTCTAAGCACAGAATGGCTCTGGTTTAATAAAGG